GCATTTCTGTGGAACTTGCTCCCTCAGTGGGTTTGAGTGTGTGATTGATGTGTGAGCTAAATTTGGTTGTGGTAGTGCGATGGTTTTTTTCACCAGAATTTCCCGGCAAAGCAATGCTTGGATATATTTCAAAACTAGTATTAGAGCATACATAGGAGCTCGGCTATCTGTGAGTTCCGTACCTTGTGTTGCTCCACCCGGGCTTGAGAGTGGCGCTCTAGGTTGTTCGTGCGATCACGTAAGATGCGTATCCTCTCAAAGATAAGTTCGGAACCAAGCCCCACATGCAGCGCACCAACGTGCGGTCACCAAGTAGTGTTAGGATCGCCAAACAGGTTCCAGGACGAATTTACGAAGGTAAAAACCGTTGATAATGTAGTTATAGCCCACAATTTGACCGACAGTAATGAAAAAACCAAAGAAAAACGCGGAATAAGGCTTTGAACAGGAACTCACCCTCTGCCCTTAGCGATGAGAGAAGACGCGTGCTGGACGAGTTGTCCGAACCTGCGCTCCAATTGCAATTGCTGGCAAATAGCCATAATAGTTGGCCATTTGCCAGCTCTTGCAATTGGAGTGCAATCTCTAGCTCATTCACTAACAGTTCGATCACCCCTCAAACTACTGCAATTCGACCCTTCCATTTAGCTGGGGAAGCCTTGATTCCGCTAATACTGACTGACTTGGTAGCCATTACAACAGATTACAACCATTACATAACACCACATAATCTTCCTACAACGCACTAGAAACAATCACAAAAAGAAGTAATCCCGACGCGGCAATCAGACTCGCAATTACTTTTTAAGGGCAGAGTTTCGAATGACCCCCTGTGGTCGGAATCAGACACGAAATGCCTCCGTAGCCATATCAGCGTGCGCGTGGCCACGAGCGTGCCGTCTCCGTATTTAGAAGAATTTCAACCACACCATCTTTGAGGACTTGTAACAACAGCCCTTTTGTGCTTATTCCCATGGTGGATTGTTTCTGCATACTTTCACTTTCAGTATAGTTTTTCCAGTAGGGCCTGATCGCACGGGTATACTTTAGCGTGCCAATTGCAGTCCAGCAGACCCTGGCTAGTGGACTTTACACGCGTGATTCAGCGCGGATAGCCAAAGCCAGGTTGGTAGTACAATGGCGCAACATATCGTCGCGAATAAGCGGCATCAAATGCCCACCTTACATGGGACCCTCGTTCAAGACTCACCAAGGCCTCTGAGATCTATCCAGGCAGTAGGGAATGAGAGCAAAAAGGAAACTCGCATGTGCGCAACACTGAGATAGTCTCAATGTTACTAAGAACACGGGTGTTAAGGACTTTACAAGTGCATAGGTAATATATATATTTCTGGTTTTTGCACCTACGTATGTTGAATTTTTCTAAATCTTGTTGTAGATTTTATAGTCTGATCCCTTGTAGCTTGAACACGCTGTTACGCTCTGATCACAAAGTGGTTAGGCCTTCTACTTTGCGGGGGATATGCCATCTCAACCAAGCTCCATAGCAATTTCGACGATTTTTTTCAAATTCCCAAATTGTGTGTTGGCAAACCGCGTTTCAAATTCACGTTCGGGACTTCTCGAAACCATTGGTAAGTCAGACCCGTGCTCTATTACTTGGAGAGGATTACGATGAATTGACAAAAGGGTTTGCTCCAAGACACTGATCGTGAATGGTCCAGAAACAGTGCACCTAGCAAACCTTCAGCTTCATTAGTTATGACGAATGGCTCAATTCTTGGGAAAGACCGATATATTTTCAAGTATGGGCTACCCTAAAGGGAAAAGTCTGCTCTATCAATTACCGAAATTTGAACCCTCTCATGACGGCGCTTTTGGAATCCTGGGACAAAATTGATGAAAAATACCTGCGTGCCACATGCCATGCGTATGCCAAATGCTGAAGAACTGTGTAAAGGCTAGAGGCGATCATTTTGAAAACTGTTAACATGTTTTGAATTGTCATCTTTTCTACAAATAATATTCGTGATTAGAATCGATTTCTGAAAGCTAGTCTCGAAATGCCAACAAAATATTGGTGCACCAGTAATTTTGCCCCAGCCTGTAGTCAGGTTTCTGTGATAGCTGCCTATTTGGGAATGAGCCTTATTTATAGGATAGGAATCCTGCTAAGTCGTACTGTTTTGGTTTGGATGAATCTCGTATTCAATTCAAAAGTTATTATTTTGGATGGAAAATATGACCTAGCTGTTCAAACAGAATCGTCAACCACGGATAATTTACCCAACCATGCATCGACTGTGCTGCACTAACAACAGAGGAGGAGTTGAACTTTGTTAGCAGCACCTGCGGGAAATGTACACGTACCAATGAATCCTGGGGAGTACTATGATCGCATAAAAGCTCGCCACAGTGCTCCACAGACAGTGCTGTTCAGCGGGCTCCTCTTCTCTAGATTGGCTAGGATATTTTTCTCTCACTCCCCTCCCTGTCTTTCGTTTTCTTTCTTTGTTCTACTTTTATTGAACAGTAGCAGTATATTCGGAATATACAGATGAGTCGGCTGATTTTTCAGATGCATCTTTACGTATTGCTAGCTGTTATCGTCTTAGTAGCTGCTGAGCACGATGAGGTATGTTTTACGTCACATTTTTTAGGATAAATTTCGACTGCAGATTCTAACTTAAAGGCAAGCGATTACGATAGATCTCAAAGGGGTTTAGAGGGGACGTGAGGGTCTCAATAGTACGCCAATGGCGAAAAAAGCAAAGAAATCCGTCAAAAATAAGCAAAATAGTATGTTCTAATACCAAGAAGATTAGAACTCATTAATGACCGCCAAAGCTTAGGATTTGCGAACACTGTGAATGAAGGATCAGCATTAGATGCTCACTTATGATAATGTTGCAATTTAATTGTGAGGCTAACACCATAACCCTATTCACCGCTAAATTATCAAAATTCAGGAGAATGGCCGAGTGTTTACAGAGCGTGTGATAAATATACCTGGAGTGCTTGCGGAATCTTAGGTCGTATGATACGCGCGATACCGGGCGGAGCAGTAGCTGCCGGTACAAATAAATTAGTAAAATTACTAGTAACAAAACAAAACAAAAGGAACAAATGCTCGAAAGATGATGGCCTCGGCTACAGGACGTTCCGGCGGTTGCTGGGGGACTAATCTGGCAATAGATTAAAGAGAGGTTATTGCAGAGGAGCAACGCTGACTGAATCACAATCCGTGATCATCGCTTGTCGAAGCAACAACGTAGCATGTTGGATCCCTTACTTTATCAAATCCTGATGCAAGACGAACCTCCATATCCTCAAGTATATTCAGAATACATCACACTTTTTTTGACAATGGTTGAAAGCCAATGCCTTGATTCAGTGCGGGTTCTGCTGAAAGCAACCGAATTTTGGATTACCGGTTTCAACATATTCCTTATGTAATAAGTTTCCTGCTGTTTGGAGGGCATGATGTTGCACTGCAGGAGCGCAAGGGCCTTGTAAAGACCGCTAGATGCCCCCACCACTTTTCTTGCAGCAGCATGCTGGTGTCTGCGCCCTCTAACCAGTTGTGCTCGCCTGACCAACTCTTCAATTTCGTTGCAATAAATACACCAGTTTCATCTTTAAGCATGCCAGTTTGAGCCGAAAAGACTTAGCAAAGAACAAGCGCGTGCGACGTCGCATAGTGACCTCTTGCTACCCAAGTTGACTGACACTGTTAAGCCGTAATTCCTCCAATGCTTCTATCTGACTCATCTGTTTGTAAGTCCAATTCCAAAACGTGGCAAAGCAAAGCCGCTCGCTTAGCAGCAGTACGCCTGCATTTTGCTGAAAGATACAGCTCGCTTAGCAGCAGAGCTGTATCTACGCTAGCTGTATAGCTTAGCTTTTTTACAAAATGCAGGCGTACTTCCTAACATATTGTTAATGGTTATTAATATGGTATTACTCGAACAGTCCAATTCCAACAACGGACAATGTGTTTAACATTGTTGACCGAGCATTTTCACCATCGGATCGGCTCACCTCATTTTAGGCCTTCCCAGTGATGACTTGTGATCCAACAGAATACAATTCATAAGCCGGGAAGTCCATCTGTAGTTTTCTGAACGTGCCTCATAAGCGGTGCAATCTCGTTGACACCATCAGCATAGACTCCTAGGCACATCAGCAAGGCACTTCGTCTTCGCAGCTCACTTTTGCGATATGTTCGTGAAGTGACACTTTGCAAATTCTGCGTTCCATTGACCTCTGCATTACAGCAAATTTCTCTTAAATGAGTCTGCTTTTGTGGGCGACCAGCATTCCGCGCCGTACAGCAGCGCAGGTATCACCGTCGAGTGCAACAAAGACGCCTTCAGTTTCATTTTGAGGTTATCGCCTAGCAGTACCGTTTGTTGAACTAGACCAAGCTGCTTTCCTGGGGTTTAGTGTAGTCTTCGCTATTGCCTTCAGTTAAGCCGAGGGTGCCCCAAGGTCTTCAATCTTTTTACTTCTTCGATCGTTTCGCCATCTACATCTATCGTCGCTGTAGGACTGAACACATTGTGCATCCAAATAGTTTTTGACAAGCTCATTTCCAGTCCAATTTCACTTGATTTCTATTGCAGCTGCATAATTATTTAATTTTACATACAGCTTAGCTGCAGCTCTTCCATAACATTTAATCAGCCAGCATCTTTGTTAAAGCAAAAGCAAGGAATACCACTAATGGCCATTGCTTTATCTCTTACTGCTTTCGTTCAGCTGAGAAATGCTATCTTTCGCTAAAATGAATCGCAATTTTTCTTCGGATGCGACTTCCAGACAATACAATAATTATTTATTCGAGAAAGGTAATTTAGAATCAACTAAAAAATATTACAGCTGTCACTCCATCCATCGGCGAATTTCTCTCCCATACAGGACATTGCTTTCAGTAGTTTCCTCCATTTGGTCCAGGTCTAGGTGGACCATGCATGGGTCCTCTTACTCCAGGTGGTAAAACACTCGGCGCATCTCTGGTGGTGCATGCATGGGTCCTTTTACTCCGGGTGGTAAAACACTCGGTGCATCTCGGTAGGTGGTGCATGCATGGGTCCTTTTACTCCGGGTGGTAAAACACTCGGTGCATCTCTAGGTGGTGCATGCATGGGTCCTTTTACTCCGGGTGGTAAAACACTCGGTGCATCTCTAGGTGGTGCATGCATGGGTCCTTTTACTCCGGGTGGTAAAACACTAGGTGCATCTCTAGGTGGTGCATGCATGGGTTCTTCATCTCCAACTGGTCCAACTCTGGGTGGTCCACCGTGTACGTCTTTTCGTCCAGAGCTCTGAAAAAATAAACCAGGTCATTTTTAAGATGTTGATAGCTACCAATTTGAGTTAAAGAATAATCCAGAAATAATAAATTATATGTGATGAATAACAAAAGTTTACCGATTATTGCTATGCATTTGAAATAGAGACAGGAAATAAAGGCAATTGTATTGAGCCTATAGAATATGCGAACATGGCACCATTACCATTAAAGGAAGCGATTACGATAAGGAATTTTCGCATCGGGGGAGAACCTGCGCCACACGGAGCAATTACTTGGCTGCCAAGGAAGCGATGTGTGGCGCTTCCACGGCGAAAGGTGCTGTGGTTGCTGAGCAGGACCTCCGCAGCACTCCGCCTCCAGCAGCGTTACGCCCACTTGTTCAGATGATGACTTGGGCGAGCTGTCTGCTGTTGGCTTTTCATTTTGGGAGATCGTTTCCCTTTTATCGGCTGTATCTTCCAACTTGCCCATGTAATGCCTTATCAATCAAAACACTATGCTTGTTGGCATGATGGCGGCTATCGGGGTTAACACGTCCGAAGAATGTCATTCTTTACCGTCGCGCTCCATGCTTATCCATGGTCGAAAATAAAAGGG